TTTGGTTATTCTCATTATTACACTATATCATTATTTTGTTTCTCACTATGAAAGTAATACCTTGAAAAGCAGCTCTTCAGAAAAAAACTAAAATAGTATTGGTGGCTAAATGCAGATAACATTGGTAAGGACTTACAAAAAGGCAATTCTATTATGTGACTTTTCTCTAGATCCTTGAAATCTTGAGGGTTTTGTTATAGTGAGATAAATTTGCATCACCTTGTGGGTATTCAGACAACCACCACAATATGTAGTTTAAACAATACTAAAATTTATTATGTTTGAGGGGCTCTGGCTATTCTAAAGAAGTTGTAAATACTTGGTATACTTGTAAATACAGGTAATTGAACATAAAATCTCCAATGTGGCTTAACTTAAAGATGAAGTTTCCCATTACAGGAAAAGTTGACCTCAATTTAATTTCCTTTTACTGGAATCCAATGCCAATATATGTGTTGTGATTCCAACCAGGTGTTTCATTATACCAAAGTGCTGTAAAAGAGTACTTCTATCTGGTAGGGGTATTAGATCTTTCTCAAAGACATTCATGCAAACGTGCTCTTCAAACTAGCTGTCAAATACCTCACATAATAAACTGAAGATTCCATAATATGTCAACTTTAAAGACTGCTCTAAAAGTTAAATGTAGTGATGAAATGCTTATTCCAAACTTGTGCTCAGTATTTTAGCTATTGCACTTAGGGACAAGAGGTTAGGCAATGGTGAGGCTTGTAGAGGACCAATGTGGTTTAATGAGCGCAAATTACTAATATGTTTCTGCTTGTAAAACTGAGCCTGACTTACAAATCTGGCAATAGTTGTTTTATGAAATTGCACACCTTTTGTCTGTTAAGGGAAGAATCTTCAGCTATTCAGAAGTTACTCTACTGAACTATAGTAAAGTTTGCTGCTATAATTGCTTACAGCTTTGTGTTTATCTCATTTTGATGTTTGTCATCTTAAAGGTTAGAGCAACAAAAAGTATTTCAAGTGACAATGCCAAGTGCACCTAGAATTAGAGTGACTTTTATTTAACAAAAGCAAGGGTGGATTTTAGCTCTGCAGTAATGTTAGTGAGGTTAATGAAAGTGTTGCTCCTCTAGAGAAAATGACTGAGCATTGCACTAAGCAGATGGCTGCAGAACTTTTCAGCCCTAGCAGCTAGATGACAGGATCAGGATAAGAAAAGAAGGTCACTGTGGGACGCAGAAATGAATATTCTGTGGTATGGCTTGGATCTTAGTTGCATTAGATCTTTCTTTTGTGTGAAGGTCTGTCAAGCCAAAGAAGGGGCAGGATGTGTAGCAGGCTGAAAGGAATGTTAAATTTTTCATAGTAAGAAACTTGTGAAGCAGTGTAGCAAGTAAGAAATAAGGGGATGCTCATCCCTTTCTACCTCGAGCACCTCTGGAGAAGCCTTCTGGGCCGAGAGGAAAGAATCAGCGTAGAAAACCCTGTTATGGAAAACTCTGTAGCATGTAGCCAGTCAGCTGATGAAGATTTTTTTCACATGAACAATGTGGCTTTGTCTAGCAACAGGAGTATTTTAATTGATAAAACTAGGATCTTTATCAATTCTAGATATAGCGTGATAACTGCATTTGAAGTCAGAAGCCAGTTACCTACTGAGCTGATCAAATCTTCAGCAGGTCAAAGAAGTTATGCAATGAATGCCTTGCTGGCCTTTCTATCTAGATTTATCACTGCTGCTAACTGCTGCTTCTCAGTCATGTTCAAACACAACTTTTTTTTCTAGTCCTGTTCTGGGCTAACTGGAGGAATCTCCCAAGTTCCTGAATAAACACTTGGATGCTTGAATAACAATTTGTGGTGGTGGTACTTCTTGCATGGACAGACTTCACATGCCATCTTTGTGGTAAGGGAGAGTCTCTTATGCTGTATATATGTATAAAATACATTTATATTTTATATATATTTAGCTTGTGTGCAAGGCATGATGTTTGCTTGAAGTATCAGGCTTGTATGTATTGGCACACCCGCAGGTAAGTCCCCATCTGTTTTGAAGAAGAAGGCAGTAGGAGCTTGTGATGGGCTTCATGAATTGCCATGTTGCACAGTCTCCCTTTGTAGCCATTTTGTACTGTGCTGACAGTGGCAGCATAATTCTATTTCCTATCTTTTCCTTGAATACACCTAGATTTACCTGTACCTGTGCTGAGTAGAAAGCCTCATGTGAGAGGAAGGGGCTTTATAGTATCCAAGAAACAAGTTGTGTGAAAGATGAATTGTTTTGTATGGTTGCAGTATGTAGCTGAGCATCACTTAAGCAGATTCCTGACCTATCAAGAGCAGAGGTGGCCTCCAAGTACCCTATGGCAACTGGAATTGTATGAATAATTAAGAGGAACAATGTCCGTATTGTTGCGTTTAAGAAACAATGATACTTCTAACTCTAAGCTTATGGCAGGAGGATTGGTACAGTTAGTTTCTTGATGTCTGTGTGAAGAGAAGACTAAGCCACATTGTTCTGTTGAGCACAGGAGGCGACTCCTGCCTGGTTTCCTTAGAATGCAGATGATGCCAAGTTGGAAGGTGTTTGATATAGCAGAGGGCTGTGCTGCTGTACCAGAGGGACCTTGACAGACCAGAAGAATAGGCTGACAGGAATCTTGTGAAGTTTGACAAAGGGAAATGCACAGTCCTGCACCTGGGGGGGAATAACCACATGCCCTGCTACAGGCGGGGACTGGCTGACTGTAAAGTGGCTTTGCAGAAAAGCACTAGAGGTCCTGGTGGACACTATGTTGAACATGAGCTGGCAAGGTGTCCCTGTGGCAAAGGAGGCCAGCGCTATCCTGTGCTGCATTAGGAAGAACCCTGCCAGCAGGTTCAGGGAGGTGATTTTTCCCCTCGATTGAGCTCTGGGGAAACCACATCTGGAGTGCTGTGTCAGGTTCTGGGTTCTCCAGTAGAAGGGAGACATGGACTTCATGGAGTGGGTCCAGAAAGGGGCCACAAAGACCATTAAAGGTTTGGAGCATCTTTCATATGAGGAGAGGCTGAGACAGCTGGGATTATATAGCCTTGAGAAGAGAACGCTCAGAGAATCTTAATGTAAAATATATAAATACCTAGTGGGAGGGAGCAAAGAAGGTGGAGCGGTATCTGCTGAAATAACAAGAAGCAATTGGCACAAACTGAAATACACATAATTCCCTTTAAATGTAAGAAAACACATTTTACTGTAAGGGTGACTGAACACCAGAACAGGCTGCCCAGGGCGTTGTGTGTCTCCATCCTTGGAGATAATCAAAACCCAGCTGGACATGGCCCTAAGCAGCCTGCTCTCGCTTGCGTTGAAACCTGGGTTTGGAACTAGATTTCCAGAGGTGCCTTCCAACCTCAGTGATTCTGTTGTTTGGTGACTGAGAACTGTGGAGTAATTTTCCCTGCTGTATTATAGTAAAATTACAACTCTGTGTAGTATGAAGGAACATATTTCCTGAGAATACTATTTGGCTTCCCTTCCGAGTGACCTGTGTTAGAGTTCTGGGCATGCTGCTTCTTCTGGGACAATATTCTGGATTCTAGGTGCAGAAATGTTGCCGAACTTCTGCATTTGTCTAGTAACTTCAGCACTGTATTTTTTTAATACTTCCTCTTAAAAATATCAGCTGTTGGAAGGGGAAGTATAAAGTGTCCAAGTTACAGGAAATCTGTGGCAGTGATTATCCTGTTATTTACGAGGCCTTTGCCTCATACAGCTGGACACTGGGACTTATGCACCGTACCAAAGTCTGCTCAGGTGAACACAGTAAATGTGGGCAGTCTTGATTCTAAAGCATGACTGAAATGCAACGCTAAGCTGGTTGTCCAGTGTGGGCTGTGATCTTTACTATCCTGTAACATCTAGGTTTTTACTAAGAAGAGGAGGAGGGGTTTTCTTTGGAAAACTTTATTGGCTATGTTTTATTGTGTATGCCTAGTTAAGTTTTCCTGGATATTGAACATAAGGGCTTATATTCTGACTCTCTTTTTCTACCCTAGGAAGTCAAAATATATTAGTCTGTTTCAGACAGAGTAAAATGTATGACCTTAGTTCAAAGTTAATCCAGCAGAATTAATCCTAGCACTGGTGACATTAATGTAATGCTGCTGCTTCTGAATTTTATACTGGTCTTGTGCTATTTACTACAATTTCGCTTTTGTGCCGATTTGATGTGTTGCTAATCCTAGAACTTGCAAAGATAGTCTTGAGAAGTTGTGAAGACTGCAGGGAATTCTTAACTCATGTGGCTTCTTGAGGGAGAGCCTGCATAGCTCCTTGTCTTTTGTACGGCGTACAGGACAACGTCAATGCCTGTCAATCTTTGAAAGCAGATTCTAGCAGCTGTCACTCAAGGTGGCACATCAGCCTGCTTCGCTAAGGTGTTGGATGTTGTTCATTTGCATCAATGCTTCTGCTAACCAGGGGAAGGGGTTCTTATATTAGCAGCAGTAAGCCCCACAAGACTCACTTTTGACAAGAATCAATACCTGTTCTACATACTCAAGCAATTAGTATTGCGGCGTCTTCAGCGTCTGTCTCCCTGTGCAGTCTGTTGTTAAACAGTTGTTCTGTTAAGCTGTTCCAGACCAGAACGTGCGCTCACATGGATATATTAGGCAGGAGGACTGGTAGGTGAATGGATTCCAGCAGAAAGCATGCATCTCTCTCTCAAGGATTTTTATGTAGTAGCATGCACCACTTGGGACATTGGGATTATTGGCTTTGTAGGAGGTCCTTTATGTGCGTGCTGAATGCTTCTTTTAATTTCCTATGCTTGGTCCTGTGCAGGAAGGAGGGCACAGATGGGAGCTCAGCTGGGCTCTAGGTAGGTTGATTTGCTATTGCGGCATTCA